ATATCACTACGATGTGGTTACGATATCAAATAAAATGTCAAATATTTTGTAATATTAATTCAATGTTAATACGACATCACTACGATGTGGTTACGTGATAATATTTACATCGCATAATGATCGCAGCGATATCGCAGAGATATCGAACTAATCAATATCGAATAAATACAGTTACGACTAACTTAACGATGTCGAATCTATTTTTTATCAAAATATCGTAATGATATCGTAATGATATCATTGCGATATCTAATCAATATCGATTGTAAACTCCAAGTTTCAGCAAAGACTAATTAAGAAATTGCTAGAAAAAGATAAATATTGTGGTAATAATATGGGATATACTAATGAAATCACAAATAAAATAGAGTAGGTAATTTTTTGATTTAAAAAACTGATATTTCTTATAAAGATAAAAATGGTTTTAATTAGACTATTAAACTTGTTACTGAAAGTTTAGCTAATTTCAAATTGGTATTAATGATACTTTAAAAGACTTGGAATTAGGTTCTGTAGAAACTCTAGTCATTTGGAAAAATTTGGATATTATTTACTATATTTTGATAGTTCTAAAGTTATTATTCATATGATTAAAAAATAAGAAAAACTGAGTTCTTTACACTAATAAAAAAATAGGCTTGGAGTGGTTTGAGAAACTGATATTTTTTATAAAGATAAAAATAGGTTTAATCAGGCCATTAAACTTGCTACTAAGAGTTTAACTAATGTCAAATTTATTCAAGAAAAAATCTTATCCAAAAATATTTTGATGAGATTTTTCAAAATACTGGTAAATTTTGCTTTGATTTTAAAAGACTTGGAATTGGATGCTGTAAAAACTCAATTATTTAGAAAATTTGGATATAATTCATTATGTTTTGAAGAATTCTGCTGGTTTTGGAATTTGTTACTATAAATTGAAACTCTTTTTTTATAATTCTTTTTAATGAATATAGCACAATTTTGTTTATTTAATTAAATTCTGATTACTAAATAATGAATTATTTAAGTTAATACACTGTATAAATTGAAAAGATAACTGAAATAAAAGAAACATTAGAATAAGGTAAGTTTATTAAATTTTTATGATAACTTTTATTAGAAATAAGCAGTTTTGTAATATTTTTTTTATTCCTTAAAAGATCTTTAAATTTTAAAATTGATTAAACTAATATTCTTTATAATATAAATAATATGGGATTTGTTACAGTTGGTTTAATTTGTAATGTCATAAATTACCAGTATTAGTAATATATAAATGGCAAACTCCACGACTAAAAAAATAAAGAACGAAGCTATATATAATTAATATTTAAAAATTTTATTATCCCTTAAACTGTAAGCAATTGCGGGCAAATTTGCCCGCAATTTTACCAAATTTCAGCTCTCATCTAATTTTATGAAAAATAAAGCAATTTCAATAAAATTTTTTTCCAAGATAGTTTAAATTATATATTGTGCAGCAATTATTATTATTTATTAATTATATATTAGAAAATCGAAAATTACCCATTGGTCAAAAGTTGTATTTTAAGATAATCACAAAATTTTAAAAAACTTTGCACTTAACTTCGACGATTTCATTGATAATTAATTGTAGCTATATAAAAGCTTAATAGAATATGTAGAATTTGGTATGAGAAACGATTTTGTTAATATGATTTTTGATATTTAAAAGTAGGATTTTGACTTTATATAGAACCTTAATGAAAATTTTATTATGCATTTTAATTATATATTCATAACAATTGATTTTTTTT